CGGCACACATGGCCATTCAAATGTGTTGGGTAGTCCTGAGGATGTCCATGACCAGGTGACAGCCTCTCTACAGTCTGCAAAACTGCCTGACAGTCTCCCTCACAGACAGGTGTAAGGCTCTTTCTTTGAAAATTCTCAAAAATACTTGTTCTCCCAAGGAATCACTGAATTAGCTTATCCATTCTTACACTATATGACAAAAACCAAACATGTAAAACCAGATGGAGTTTGGTTTACAGTGTGGGTCAGCAGCTGGGAAGGATCAGGAAATGGTGTTTCATCATAATCATGTTTAAGATATAAAATTATGAAGGATGTTGGGCTTCTTTTAGCATGTAAAGTAGAATCAGGATGTAAAGATGTTTGGATATATGCATTACAGATGCCTAAGATGTTACACAGGCATCGATTTCTTTTATGGTAACATTTATGAACTGAGTAGTAGTGGGCTTTTTCCTTTATGATTTTAGTAACACCATCTGCTTTTCGATATAAACTTGCTAAGATTTCTACTTCTGGGTTAGGTGGATTTGGAAATGATTTAAAATCTCCCACATCCCTTTCTCCCCATCTTCTAAAATAGGACTTTGCATAATTAGTTGCATGGAGGAATCAGCATTGGAGCTGGAAAACCTCCGTGCTGATCCCAGCTCCTCTATTTACAAGTTATGTGACCTTGGGAAAGTTACCCACTCTCTGACAAGCCTCAGTTTCTTCTTGTGAAATGAGAATGAGATTACTAATTTTGTAGTATTGTTGTGAGGATTCAATTATTTTAAATAACATAAAATCCAGATACCTAATAGTTCCCTTCCCACCACGTCCTACAATGTAAATTCATTTCTCGCATTGGTTACCTCCTCCTCTCCTTATTTGCTTCCATGATTTCAGTAAAGTAAACCAAAAAGCCACAGAAATAAATTATTTGGAATTTTTTTGTGGCCTTTTCACTTTTGCTAAGGAGTAATCCCAAAATTCCTGTTTTGGAATCTTGACACTGCCATTTGCACACAGTGTTCTCTTCTTCCCCAGCCCACCCCCTCTTTTTTCTTGGGTCTCTATAGTGAAGAAGGATCTCTGTGTTGAGCATGTTAAGGTTTCGTAACTCCTCCTTGTCATCTTGCTAATTATCTCCAACCTCGGTTATCATTTCTTTGTGGCTGCTGCTGGAGCTAAGTACTTTTGGGGCAGATTTTGGTTGCTCTGCACTGCCAAATTATAATGCTAAAATGAAAGTAGGCTTTGGTTTAAAAGACTAAACCTAATTTTGTGCTAAAATAGAGTTCAGCTTGGGCAGCTAGGGGAAGCCATTAGTGGGCCCACATGTTTTGGTAAGATGAAGTAGATTAGTGTAGGAATAAAACACTTTATCAATTTAATTAAGCAAACAAGTGTGTTAAAATATGCAGACTAATTTCAGAATTTAGTTCTTTGCACTACAGTGGCCTTCTGCCGTTTGAATCTCATGATATAGTATGAAGCCTTTCTCTTTGAAATCTCATGTCATGACATTGCTCTCTGGCCCTTTGATTCAGATGTGCTCTACCCTTCATTTGCTGCATTGCTCAGTAAATCTGTAGGTCTGAGTATGTCAAGCCCACAGCCACAGAAGCACATCTTCAAGAACAGAGGACGAAGGAAGTCTCGGGTGGATGGGCGATTGACTGAATGCACTCTTTCTAAGTAGTTATAGCTCATCTGTCTTCTGATAGTTCCTTGGGCTTCTAGCAGGCACGTGTCCCATTGTTGTTAAGTAAAGCCCTGTATGGATGTTTGACAAGTTAGCAGCGTGGCAGCTCTGCTTGCTCCCCAGCCTCGCCTCTGTCTCAGGGATTGTTTGGTTTGGCAGATGGCCAGCTCTCTGCTATAAGATGCATTTCCTTGACAGGACAAAGTGTGGAGCCGCATTAGCTGCAAAGTTTACAAAGGTTAGCTAAACACACACAATAAATATTAATAAACAAAAAAGGCCCACCCACCTTCGACTTTGAATTCTGTTTCTTCATTCCATGTTTTGGAATCCCTGTAGTATTTGATTAATAACCAGTCTTAGGGTAATTGAGCCTTAAGTATCCTCTGTCTAAGTCAGACTGCTCACAGAGCCCTCATTGGCTGCTTTCGTGACTCATTGCCACAGTGGATGGAGCTCTGGAATGACTGTTTAGTTCAAGGGGTCTTATTTGCCTTCTCTTTGCTTCCGTGTGAAAAGAGGAGTAAATGTGCTTCTCCTTAAGAGCTTATACTGACCAGCCGTGTGCGTGTCTAAGAGCTCTAGAGGGTAAAGGATGTGAACAGGAACAGAGGTACAGTGCCCTGAGCTTGGACTCCCTGGAAAGCAATCAGACATTGGTCTGTTGGCCTGGACGATTGCCTCTCTCTAACATTTACACCCTCAGCGTAGAGGGAGAGAGTAACAGTAACCCGCTGCCCCTGGAAACTGCCTGTTTGGCTGGGTGTCTTGGAATTTACCAGGGCTACGCTGTGGATCTTTTCCAATTCTGCACCCTGCTCACTTGAAAGCATATTTGAGAACCAGTAATCTTAGATTGCTTAGCCAGACCTCTAGAGAACCAAGGAAGAGAAATAAATTTAATGCTATGTCCTTAAGATTGTCCTGGAGCCATGTGTGGGTGGCTGAGATTTCTGAAGGCCCTTGAAAGCCCCCTCACTATCTTCTTTTGCTCACTGGTTCATGCATATCCCTCTTTTTAAGACCACATTAGGAGGGAGCTAACCTTACTGCATTTGTAGGATACTTGAGTATAATAATGATCTGGAGAAATAAAATTATTCCTCATAGATAGCAATGATTTAACTTAAAAATTGTCTCCAACTCCACTTAGCAAAGCGATCCATTTAGGCTTGGGTGAACTGTAACTTTTAGTTCATTTCTTCAGGAAACATTTATTGAGCACCAGACACTAATCTGGGCACTTGGGATATATTGCCACGTAAGTCAGACCAAGATCTCTGCCTATGTGGAACATACGTTTTAGTGGGGGAGGCTGACAAGAAACACAATTAACAATAAATTATATATTATGTTAAAAGGTGATACATGCTATAAAAAAAGAAAAAGCAGAGTAAGGGGAGTTGTGGGTACAATTTTAAATAGGGTGGTCTGGGTAGCAATGACATTTAAGCAGAGTCTTGTAGGAGATGAGTATTGGCTTGGATGGATTTATTCTAGATAGGGTTTATGAAATATGTTTGTGACTCTTCTCATGTTTCCACATACCTGGCTGTGACCATCTGGAAATTTCCAGTGGTCTAAGCATGGTTCTCAAATTAATCTCAGTGGTGGTGCACCTGGAAGTCAGGCTGAACTTTGCAGACCATAAACTATTGATATACTTAATTCCATCTTACCAACCAGGCACGGTTTTATTAGGAGAAAATGTGACTCTTTATACAGATGCATTATAAAGTACGTTCCTTGAACATATGAACAAAACAATGACAACCCCCCAAAATGTCAAACTGTATATGATTTACTATTTTCAAGTTTTTCTGTTAATATTCACTCATTATTATATATGTATTATCATCTTTTAGCACTTGCCAGCAGACATTGGGTAGCGGGCACCACAGATTTAAGAAAAATTGTGGAAAGAAATCCTAAAATTTTGAAAACCTGCCCTTTTAGTATAATTTTTCCCCTGTCAACAGGGAAAACATAGCCTCTCTGATTTGATTTTCTCAGTAGAACATCTTTAGTGGTGCATCTCTTTAGTGGTGCAGAGCCTAGGAACCACTCTTCTAGAGTCTTGTCAGACACGAATTAGAAGTCCTGAAGACTTACATTTCTTCCTTACTTCCTCAGGAATCTCAGAGAAGGATTTGTAGCCCTTTAACTTGACGCGTATTTTTTGCCAGTCAGGTGGGAGCCAGAATTTCTCTCAAAAGGGACTGCAGAGATTCCCAGATATTCTATCTTAACAAAAGAGTGGGCTGGTTAGGGAGAAGAAACCAAAGAAGTTCAGCCCAAGGTAGACTGGGGAGACAGATTCCATGATTTTGATTTTACTATTAGAATGTAAAATGGCAATATCTAATTGTAGCCTTTTTCCCCTTAATCCTTGTACATTGCTTGGCACGTGATAGGTTCTTAATAAACATTAAATTAATGTTTCCCCTCGTCTCTTGTTCTATCAGAGCGGGATCTGCAGCATTGCACATGGTGTTTCTGCCCACCAACCTCAGCTTCATCTTTTTTCTCCTTAATACTATCCCTGCTATGCCCCCGCCTCTGCCCTCTTACTGCAGACAAAAATTAGAAACAGGTTGCAGTTCTCACTGAGAAGTTGTGGTTCTTTCTGACCCCAGAGCACCACTTATTTTTCTCACCAGTAATGAATTCAAAGGATCATAACTTTCAGTGACCCTTCTCTTAAACAGCGTTTCATTCAGGTTAATGTCAAGTATTTGTATTCCGTATCTCTGTTTTACTTCTGCTGTTGTCCTGCTGGTTTATCTCATAGATAGGGACATATTATTCAGTGCCTGCAAATATGTGTTGTTCCTTAAAAAGCTTTATGAGATTTGGATCTTTGTGAAGTAAAAACAATAACCACCTGGCCTCAATCTGCTGTCCAGAGGGACATATTGTGTGTGTAAAAGCATGAAACACTGAATCCAAAGCTGCTTCAGTGGTAAGCAGAACTGTATTATGTGGGTTCAGCATTCCAAGATGCCAGCCTCGCAAGGCAATGGAGCTGGGAAAGCCTAACTTTGTGGTTTCAAAGCTGTTAGGAAAGGAGAGGAGGGATGTCAGGAAGGGAGCATCTTTTTTATTTTTACAGGATAATCACACAGATAATAGTGATGGAACAGAACTTAACCTAGGAACATGACCTTGTAGTTTAGAAGAAAATGTCCTAAAAGTTACAGGTAACCATCAGGATGATATTCAGTTTAGTAAATTAGCCACCAAAGTACCAGCAGGCATTTTCCATTTTTATTTGGCCTCTTTGGTTGATTACTGTGCCTTTCCTTTTCAGAGTGTTGTCCGCTGCCTGTGGCACCCAAAGCTGAACCAGATCATGGTGGGAACTGGAAACGGATTGGCTAAAGTCTATTATGACCCCAACAAGAGTCAGAGGTATTTCATACGTATTGCCTGTTTTAGATGGATGACAACTGGGGGGAGGACTTTTTTTTCACCCCTGCTCTTATTTATTTCCCCCTTTGATGGGGATCCACCCTTTTAGAAGCTGCAGCTGGCACAGAGTAAAGCCTCAAACTTCTAGTATTGTGCTTTAGAGAGGCTTTGGGTATTGCCCTTGATCTACACAAAATTCAAAGTGAAAGTTTCCTGGGGATTTGCAGTTCTTTAGCTGAAATGTCGAGTGCAAGGGGGTGGGGAGGGCCTGCTCACTTTGCATACCACCCTGGATGGTGGCATTAGCAGTGATGCATGTAAGGGATTAACAAGCAGGGAACTAGCCACTTACAGGAAATGGGACCAGCTAGTCCATTTTGTTCCCTTTCTGTTTGGGCTTTTATCAGGTACCAATTGCATGTTTGGCAGGGTTGTTATCTGCCAGCAGAAGGGGACAGCACAAATACTTGCCCCTTTAACCCCATGCTCACCTCAAATGCCAGGGTAAAGCACACCAATGTGTTTCAAAGGTCCAGAACTTCGCTAGAGGCTCAGTTGGTCCCTCAGATATTTCCAGTTTCCTTGGGCACAAATGTGGACTTGTGTTACCACCCAAAAAAGGATGGTTTTGTTTCCCGCTGTTAAGGTACAGTGACTGATGAGCTGTTTCTTTAGAGTAAGCCTTGGTTAGCTAATATTAAAATTCACATGCTAAATTCACTGGGGTTCCTTCCTGACAAACCTGTTTTGAGGCCCCACATCCTTTTTGGGGAAAGGAAACCCATACTCTGTTAATTCATTGACTATAATTTGGCTCTGAATAGAAACAGACAGTCTTGTCTTCCTTCAGAACTTTCTGGATTAGAGTTGGAACCCGTGTCCTATAAAATGAAGTTATGTACTGAGGTATTTAAGAACAATAGGATTTTGTTTGCTTTTTAATAAAGGAATCGAAAGTGCTAATATAATTTGGATGAGAGGGAGTCTGTTCCACTTGAAAAAACAGTGAACCCCATTTGATAGCACCCGTTTAGAGGGCACTATCTTTAGAGTCTTTACTTTTAAGAAATTTGCCTATTTGTAGTTGTTCCTCCTGAAAGAGATAGCTCGTCATTGCTAAGGAGAAGTGAATTGTTCTAAGCACACTTTTGGTTAATCCCACACATTGTCAGGCTGTAGCCAGTTGGCAACACTGCCAAGGACTCAGTTCCAGCCACTTGTGCTCTTATATTTGAGATGTGGACAAATGCCACTTGGGGTGTAGACCACCCAGGTTGCTTTCATCTGAGACATAAACTACAATTTGAACCCTGTGACCCTTAGGGTGAAAAGGTTGATTCTCTTTAAGATCTTAATTTTAAATTATTTCTGTAGATTTTTTAAACTAACTTTCTGCTGCCCAGTTACCGGTCCAACCCTTTTGCTCAGTAGTAACCACTGACTAACAGACTCACTTTCCCATACATTTAATCTCTTATCACTGAGAGCTCCATCTGTTGCCATCCTTTAGAAAGTCAAGGACTTGGTAAGAGGGTGTGCACAGAGTATGTTCCTGAAAATATATAATGCTTTTGACATAGACTTTCTGTTTCTAAGACCAAGTAAAGAAAATAATTTCCTTTTACCCCTCCTCAGGGGAGCAAAATTATGCGTGGTTAAAACCCAACGGAAGGCAAAACAAGCTGAGACTCTAACCCAGGACTACATCATCACCCGTAAGTTGTCAGCATGGTCTCTCCGTCATAGATCTCCCTTCTATTCTAGTGTGCAGTTGATCTCATGGCTTTAAAGACAGAAAAAGCCCTCAGAGTTCAGGCATATATTACAAAATATCCCGTTCACGTGGATAGGACCGCGAGTCATGTAACAGCTAACCCCGTTAGCTTCTGTCACTCATCACAGAGACAGGGTTATTTTGTGTAACTTTCAACCCCAAAGGGAAAAGCCTATTTGAGCCTAATGCATTACTCCATAGCAGCCTTTTAAAGAATAGCAATCTGTTCTAAGAATAAACAAGAAGGAGTGCAGGGCTTGGAATCAGGAGACGTGGATTTGTCCAGTTCCACCTCTGACTGGCAGTGTGATGTTGAACAACTGAACTTTATCAGGAGAGTAAGGAGACTCGCGAAGGGTCTCCTCCAGCTCCCTCTGATATTCTGTGACCGCGTGATCCCGAGACATTTAGATATAAAATTAACTACCTGGGGTGTGATCAGAAATCTTATTCAGACAGAGCAGCTTTTCTTGGGTATGTCACACAACCTCGTTAGTCTGGCAGCTTTTTGTTTCCCAGAGCCACATCTCAGACAGGTAGCAGCTAGGAGGGAACTCTTGCATGTGATAGCAATTGTCATTAGCAGATGCCCCTGTGGACTTGATCAGTCTCAGTCTAAAGCCCAGGGGGCGCTGTACTGCTGGGTTTTCTCCCTGGAGGTGGGTCTCCTATAAGACCAAGTCCCTTGAAGCTTATGGTCGGTAAAGAGATCCCATGGCACTTTTTTCAAGAGTAGAAGTGTTAAAGTCGGTGTCATAACCAGTCTAGCTCATGTAATTACATGCGGCCTACTTAAATTCCTCCAGTCGTTTGAAGTGAAAAGCTATTTTTCCCCCTCCTAAAAATACTGTTGTGTCATGTTGCCTGACAGAGTGACGTGTGGCTGTGTTTCTCAGGCAGAGAAACCCAAGGCAGTCATGTTTCACTGATGAGTGATATGGTCCTGGCCCAGACTGGCAGTAGGGGTAGAAGGTGGGGGATACTGGAAGCGTTTTTGAGGTGTTAGAGACATTTCTGTTATTCATATTATAAATTCCCTTTAAACCTTTCCCTCCCCAAGTCCCCTGGAAGAAGCCTTCTCTTTTAAAGGAGGTTTTAGTCTGTGTGTAAGCATCCAAAGAAATTATTCTAGTACTTTTTTTGGTCAAAAAAAGATACTTAATTCTTCCCCCAATAATCTTCTCCCTCTCTCCCAAAATATCACACTGTGTTCCTTTTAAGTTTGTATACTCTTTTATATTCTGAAATTTAATTCCAAGATTAAGTAAACAACCAACAGCAATTGGACAAATATTACTTTGATTTTCGTTCTTTTGTTTTGTCCACCATGGAGGAGTAGGGATAATTCCCCATCAAGTCACCCTGTCAGGAGATTGAGGCCCCCCCGTGCATTCCAGGCAAGCTTTATCCCAGTTTCAGTGGGATAAGTGCTCCTCCCTTCCGGTTACTCAGTGTTGTCTCCTCCTGAGAGGTGGTCACATTTCAGAAATGTGTGAAGTGATTCCAGTGTTTATGAGGCATCTGAGTAAACTTCAGGGCTGATAGGCAAGCTGTTGGTATTATTCACATTTGGGTCTTGTAAGAAAAAATTAGAGGCAGCCCCGTTAAGTGTTTCTTTTCAAAACTGCAGAAATTAAGTTCAACTGCTACCCATGGTTTGGGAGATGGCGAGCCTCACTGATGTTTCCATGACGGTATTTGACAGGATTTCCTCAGTGCCATTAGTTGCCAGGAGAGGTGAACAATGAGTCTGGTCTCAAACAAAATTGGCTAATTGGTTACAGTAAGACTGTCTTTTATTATTAGATGAAGGCTGTCATCGTGACTTCCATTTCTTCTTTCAGTTAGTCATGCTCTAGCTATGTTTTTGGATGGAAGGGTTATTATCATAATGAAATTTTTCAAATGTGACTTTTTGTAGCTCATGCCCTGCCTATGTTCCGTGAGCCCCGCCAACGAAGTACAAGGAAACAGCTGGAGAAGGACCGACTGGATCCCCTGAAGTCTCACAAACCCGAGCCTCCTGTAGCAGGCCCAGGTGACTGTGCTGTAGCTCGTGACCTGCAAAGGGGGTTGGCGGCAGGGTGGGGCAATTGATAGAGAATTGGGAAGATCTTTTGGGCCTGGGTGCCTCTTTGTCTTCAGAAAGATTTTACTAAATAGGGGTTTTCAAATATTTTCTTTTTAGCATCAGAACTTCTTGCTTAGGGATCTGGTGTGGAATCCCAGTGCATAAAATAGATAAAATGGAGCTGCTGTGCTGAAGTACAGAGGGAACCTGGAGCACCTTCTGTTCAGTCTCTAACTTGAGCCCTTTAGTGATGTTGGTGGAACTGTGGGGCTCCTGGGAACCCAGTGTTAAAACCCCTGCTCTCAATGTTGGCTTAATATACAACATTGGATACTTTGACCAGAATCCAGGCTGGATTAGGTTTCACAAAAGGCAGAAAGTGGCCATCATTTAGTTCTGTGTTGATAAAATGGAGCTGCCCACTTTCCCTAGAAGATGAATGAAGTCCTTAGAGTTTTTAGGAAAGTAAATACCAGAAGAAAGTAAGACAGCATTGGCTATTGTGCAGCACATACCTTTATTAGAGTCCCATTTTCTGTTATCACCTGTGTGGTTTCCGTTTGTCCTAGGCTCACAAGCCTATAGCTTTTGACTTGTTAATTCCTGTGAACCTGAGTTTTGGACCTACATCTATTCGGCCCACCCCTTCAGCATTGAAAACATTTCACATACCAATCTCAATTTTTCTTTTTTCACTTCCTCTGCCACCCATCCTAATCAAAGTTCCTAAATAATATTCTTACCTGGATTACTGAAAAACTCTTCTAACCTTATTTCAAGTTACTCTTTTTCCTCCCCACCCTACTTCCATTCATCTTACACACAGCTTTTATTCCCAACTCCTCCAGCTTTCATATTGCTACTACTCCTAAATCTGCATAAGCTTCCCACTGTCCAGTTGCATTTCCGGAGATTTGAAGTTCTCTACAGTCTGCCTCTAACCCACTCTTGAGCTTTACACCTTATTTCTGTTCTACTTTTGGTTCACTCCTGCCCCTAAATGCCCAGGGAGCTTTTGTCTTTCTGTGCTTTTGTACTTAAACCATTCTTATTGAAAATAACCTTCTCTGTCTTCTGAGCTTTCTTAAATTGGCTCCATCTCTTCCTAAGGACAACCCCCTCAACCACCTCAGCCTGAAGAGCTCTTGCCTCCCTTTTAAGTGCTACAGTAGTTACTGACCACACAAATTCTTTGGCAATTAATTATTTCCTGCTTTATTTAGTCTCTTGTTATCTTGATTTATAAAATTAACTTTTAGTGCTATTTGGCTTTTCGTGTTTTTTGGGTTTTTACCTGAGGAAGATTCACCCTGAGCAAACCTGTGTTGCCAATCTTCCTCTTTTTGTGCATGAGCTGCCGCCACAGCATGGCCACCCACTGACAGACGAGAGTGGTGTAGGTCTGCGCCTGGGAACCAAAGTGGAGTGCACTGAACTTAACCACTAGGTCACCGGCGCTGATCCTTACGTTTTTTTTTTTTTAAATCCTCCTAAAAAGTCATACATTTTTTTGAGTACTGGACACCAGGCTGGCTGTTGGGGATCAAGTAGGAAATAAATCTATGCCCTTGTGGAGCTTCCTGTCTACTAGAGCAATTATAGTACAGTAAAATAATGTGAATCGGTGTGTTCAGCTTATTTGTTTTCTCTCCTACAAGGTACCTGGAAGCTGACAAGCCCTAAGATATGTTTGTTTAAAACTAAAATAGCATCTGATGAATATTGGTTATATTTACTAATTGAATTTCAAATGTTCATGCCTGAGGAATTTTTTTAAGGCATATACATGGCAAAGTATTTGTAATTCTTCCTACATTGGTATCATTATGTAAATTAAGCAACTAAGACATAACAAAAAATGTCTTTTTCTATGTAAAAATGTTATGGGGAAATTGAGGTTTGGTGATTTCCTACTCTGGTTGTGATTATCATAAATGACAGCTGAAAGAACAATACTCAAATACTCTTAAGATTTGTGTGCTTCAAACCAAAGTTTGAAGAAGCCCTAGAGTGCTCAAAACCTTGATTCCATGGGGAAAGACAAAAATTGGGTAAACCAAAGTAAAGCTCTGGCCCCATTTTGTCATTCACTTAACAGGCCACCTTGGAAGCCAGCACTGAGGGATTCTCACCCTTGTCAATCTGACAGTACAGTGCACACAAGGTATACTTATATATTGCCATGCACGTTCTGTTTCTGATTTGTGGTTTCTTTCCTTTGGAACAGGTCGAGGCGGCCGGGTTGGAACCCATGGGGGTACTCTGTCGTCATACATCGTGAAGAACATTGCTTTGGACAAGACCGATGACAGCAATCCCCGGGAAGCCATTTTGCGGCATGCCAAAGCAGCTGAAGACAACCCATATTGGGTTTCTCCAGCATATTCCAAGTAAGGAGACAGCCTTTTAAAATAGAAAAATTATTGTGTTTGGTGAATGGGAAGAACACAACAATGGCCACTTTGAGGTTCTAACTTCTCCACTTCTTGTTTTACTCTTGAGCATGAAAAACAGACCAGGTACTCATAGGTCCTGAAACCTAGGCATTTGTTTGTATCTTAGAACTTTAAAATGGTGAATTTTTGAACCAGACCAGTTCCATCAGAGTTATAGCCTAGTATAAACCCATTATGTGAAGCCCACTCTACCTATGATTAAAAAAAAGAGGAGCGCCGGCCCTGTGGCCGAGTGGTTAAGTTTGCGCGCTCTGCTTCGACGGCTCAGGGTTTCACTGGTTCGGATCCTGGGCATGGACGTGGCACCACTCATCAGGCCATGCTGAGGCAGTGTCCCACATACCACAACTAGAAGGACCCACAGCTAAAATATATACAACTATGTACTGGAAGGATTTGGGGAGATAAAGCAGGGGGAAAAAAAAAGAAGATTGGCAACAGTTGTTAGCTCAGGTGCCAATCTTTGAGGGAAAAAAGGGAAATTACTGCCTATATGCATTATCTTAGTTAGGGAGGCTTTACACTTTACTTAGTCCCCTAATGTTAAGACTTTACATAACCATGGTACAATTAATTAGCAATGCCATGAAATTAACAGTAGTATAATACTGTTAACTAAGCTTATCTGATTTTCCTGTTTTTCTGCTTTCTCTGTTCCGGGATCCTATCCATGGTCCCACATTGCATTTAGTTGTTACTTCTCCTTAGTCTTCTCCAGTCATAATAGTTTCTCAGTCTTTCTTGTCTTTCATGAGCTTGATGCTTTCAGTGAACACTGGCTTGTTGTTTTGTACACTTTCTCTCAGTTTGGGTTTGTTTGATATTTTTTCATGATTGTAATGAAACTTTGCATTTTTGGCAAAAATAATACAGGAATGATGTATCATTCTCAGTGCATCTTATCAGGAGCTTCGTGTCACTGTGTCTCATGTCACTAACTTTGATCCCTTGGTTAAGGTGGTGTCTGCCAAGTTTCTCCACTGTAAAGTTTCTGTCATTCCATTTTGAGTTAATAAATTTCTTGGGAGTGATATTTTAAGACTATGCAAATTCTCTCTCTCCTTACGCTTCTGCTTTCTAACTTTATCATCCATGGGTAGATTTGCCTGCAATGGTTATTAGTGTGGCGTTTGCCTAATGGTGATTTTCTGTTTCCCTCTTTTCTTCTACATTTATTAATTGGAATTCTACTGAAAGGAAGAATTGTCTTGTCTCCCACATTTATTTATTTTTCAAGTATTTTTTTATATCAGTATGGACTTTAAAATACTTTATTCTATGGGTTAAAATCCAATGCTATCATTATTTAGTCTGTTGCTCACGTTGTTCCAGCTTTGGCCTGTGGAATCCCCTTCAGAACGGCTCCTGTCTTCTTTCAACAAGTCCCTGTATTTTTTTGAGCACTTCCTTACTTTCTGGCACCACAAAATGTTCCAGGCTCATCTTTCTGGGTTTTTTTGGTCCCAGTCCTAGAACCAATCACTTCTCCAAGGAATTCTGGTTCCTTTTCTTGGAGAATGATGTTTAGAAACCAAGAAGTTGGTGCTAGAAGTGCTCATTGCTACTAAAATGTCGCTTCTTCTAGGTCCTCTCAACTGACAAAGCTCAGAAATAGATGTATGTATACTAACCTACGCATACACACGCGTACATATTTATATTTTAAAAATCATGAGTTTAAACTGGTGCCTCTCATTGCAGTCCTGTAGCGCAGAGTTCATTTCCCCTTTCCCCTTTCCGTATTTGTAACTTCTTTCTCCAGTGGTGAGAAAACCAGCTCTCGTTATCTGCAATAGATTTACTTATTTGTTCAGTTCTGGTCTACACATAAAGTAGTTTCAGAATTGCTGACCCCACTGTGAGAAATACTTTCCCTAAGTAGAGTACAGCGTTTGTGTACAGTTCTTTTTGTCTTTTTTAGCCTTACAGTATCTATCTAGTCAAGATATTGTTTTCCAAACTTACTTGGCTTAGATCTTTTCTTCTCCACTCCTGTCAGTGTGATTATGTTATTCATTTGAAGTGCAGTTAGGGTCATTTGTTAGTGTTTGTATTCTCTTTGGGGTTTCTCGCATATTCTGGGGTTTTTTTTAGGGTGTGTGTGGGGTATGTGAACTATTCTTGTAGTGCTAGGAGTCAGAACTTTAAAAGAGATATACTCAGAGGAGTGCCACACCTTCTTTATCCCTGCCACCCCATTCCAGCAGCCCCCCATTCTTTCAGTCCTTTTCCTACTCACCCCTATAGGTAACCAGTCTCTATTTTCTGGTTTGTCTTCTTTTGCACAAATGAGCAGAAACGTATTTTCTTATATCCGCTCCTTTCTTACATGAAGGGCTGCATGGTATAAATACTCTTTTGGGCTTTGCTGTTTTTCACTTAGCAATATGCCCTGGAAATCACTCTATATGAGTTCACAGAGCTCATTCTCATTCTTTTTGATAGCTGCATGGTGCTCCATTGTATGGATGTACCATACTTTATTCAACCATTCTCTTCTCTATTGTTATTTAGGTTGTTCCCAGTATTTTACAGGTACTAACAATGCTACACTGAATGAATTTGTGCATGTATATTTTTGTATTGTTGGAAGTGTATTCACTTTTTTCTTGATGTCTTTATGTATTGCTAAAGTTTTCAATTATGAGAAAGCTGCACCCTGATCGCTTTTCAAAACATTAATATGCTGGAAAAAATCACTTATGTACCAACTCAGCTTACGTGTTTACTGATGTCAGTCCCCTATCTGCTATGAACTTCTTTGCATAAAAGAAAAAACATTGTCTTAGCTTGGGTTCCTTAGAAACAGATGCTGAGATAAAGATTCTCATAAAGGTGATTTATTAGGAAGTGTTCCCAAAGAAAACCAGTACAGGAGTGGAGAAGTGTAATGAAGCCGAGTAAGGGTACAGTATCAAGCAAAGTTCCAGGAAGGGTCACTTTGGTTCAGTCCCACAGAGCCACCCTGGAGACCCTGGTCAGAGGCACAGTAGCTGGAGTACTTACACTCCAGTATCTGTTGCTCATTGGTAATGGCTGGAGATGGGGTTTGGGAAGACAGTGCCAGGCTCTTGCGGCTCTCCAGGGCTTTAGCAACCTGCCAACAGCCTTCTGACAAAGAGAGATAGGTGCTGCTGTTGTGAGTGAAAGCACCTCACACATAGATGCTAGAGGGATTTGAGGGCATTCTGTGGGGATCACTGCATCCTCTGCTCTGCACGTTGTAGCAGAACAGGCTTAGCTGAACTGTGTATTGTCAGTGGTGGTTGTTCACAGTATATGTTAGTAACCAGACAGTACAGATGGAACATCTCTGAACAATTAATTGGATAATATTACAACAGCTAAGAGGGTCATATCAAGGCTGGCCAGCTAAATAGTATGCATTTATAGCCTTCATTTGTATAGAATTTGTGTGTATATAAACTAATGTATGTCAACTCATCATTGGCAGCCAGATAAGCTTATAAACTATGCCTCTGTTGACACTTCTGTTTTTAATGGAGTGTTTTCTATTATTATTAGGGATTCTTTTATACTTCAAAAAACTTGTTTAGAAACATACCAAAAATTAGCTGAGGAGAGAAGAGTAAACAGACCCATGGTTTAAAATTTGCTATACATAGCAAGAATCATTTTGATAGCAAACTGCTCCAAATCGATGTGTGTATGTTTACACACAAAGCGAATCATTGAGGTGTCTCCATAAATATTGACATCATACAGTTTACTGATTTTTGATTGATATTAACAATATATAATTCATAGGAAGGTGCCAAAGATCTATCTTACCACTGAAGAAAATGAGACACTAAGAAGATAACTTTTAGAACCTGCTGGATAGCAAGTCATTGCTAGAGCCCAGGCCAAGAACCTTCCCTTAGAATTTCCAGGTTATTGTTCTAACTTCTAACAACTAATTATTTTGATAAAAGATCAAACTTCAATTTTTTATGTTGGAAATTTTAAGTAATACATGCACACAGTGCAAAAACAAATCCAGCAGTGCTAAAGGGTAGACAGTGGAAATTCAAAAGCCTTTCTTTCCCTTTGGCCCCCGGTTCCTTCATTCTACTACTGAGGGATGCCCACCACCCACACATTCCTGTATTTCCTCCGAGAGAGAGAGTCCTTGCATAAACGAACAGATACGTATGTACATGCGTTCATTGTTTAAAAGCACAGGTATATAGCATGTTTTACAAGCTGGTTTTTGTTTGTGTTATTTTGTTGGTTTTTTACTTTGTTTTTTACTTCGAAGATTGGACCAGATTCGTCCATCCATATCTAGCTCATTCTTTATGCTTTCTTGATATTTTCCATTCAATGGATATGTTATACTTTTCTAAAATACCTTATTGAAGGATATTTACATAGTTTTCAGTCTTTTGCTTTCATAAATACTGAAATTAATATCTTTGGGCGTACTTATTTGCCCACATGTACAAAACTTGTGGAAATAGAATTGCCAAGTCAACGGGTATTTGCATTTTAAATTTGTATAAATGGTGCTGAATTTTCCTCTAAAGAGACCTTTTAATCAACTTCTCCAGTGTATCGGCCCCTCCCTCATCCTTGCTGAGAGATGGTTCCTTTTATCTTTGCCAAACTCATAGGTGAAAACTTGTATTGCATTGTAGTTTACGCTTACATTTTTACATCTTTTAAGCATGTTTTCATATGTTAAAAGCCTTTGTTTCCTGTGAACTTTTCTACTTATGTCTTGTGCCCATTTATCTATCAGTTGATGGGTCCTTTTCCTATTGGTTTGTAAGAGTGCTTTATATTAAAGAGCTTAACCCTTTGTGTGTCATGTATTACAGATGTTGGTCCCAGTCAGTCATTTTTATTTTACTTTGTTTATGACATTTTTCCCATGTGTGAAAAAAATTTAATGTAGTCAGATTTAGAAATTTTTCTTTCTTGGGTTTTAT